TGGCAGCCTGCCGTGTCGAGAGGCCTCCTCTGAAGGTGTTTGTTTGCGAAGGATTTGCAGCTGGCTGGAGCGGGTGCTGCGATCCAGCGCGGGCGGACATCAAAGAGGAGAGCTAACGAATTCCCTGTTATCTCTGCTCATTGACAGCTCAATTAGAGCCTGAGAAATGCCAAACGGGCCCGGGGGGGCGGGGAACAGAGGCTCTCCCGGGAGGCCAAGGAGTGGGTGCTCACAGCTGGGACCGGGGGGAGGGGGGAGGGATGGGGGTGGCTGGGCACAGGGCCCTGGTCAGGCAGGAGAGCAGCCAGCCCTTCCCTCAACACCTGGGCGATGCTGAAGGCAGCGCAGGGCCCTGCCAGCGTGTCTGCTCAGGCTGCTAACACAGCACGGCCGGCTGCCTGCGGCACAGGGGCTCGGAAAAAAAGCAACAGGGATGCTGTCTCCTTCAGGAGACTCCCACTCCCTGCCCTGAGCACTGGCCCAGGGCACGGGGTGGCTGGTGGGCAGCCCCAGCATGCTGGAGTGTGGCAGAGTTTGGGACCAAGGGATACATGCAGGCAGGGACCTGAGTCAGAGGGCACATCTCCCCCCTGAACACAAAGCTACAGATCCCATAGCTTCTGGGGGGAAACCAGCTGCTCCTGGGGTCCAGAGGAGCCCTGCCAGCCCACACCTCAGAACAGCGGGGTACACCCAGTGCCACAGAGCCAAAGGCCTCCCCTGTGTATGTGAGGGATGCTTTGCCATGTACGCACACACACACACACACACACACATATAGACAGACACAGGCATTTGAGCATGTGCACATCTGCCTGCACCCCCGTGCACCCCCAGGCACGCATGTGTACGCGCTCACACACCCAAGCATGTCCCCAGATGCCCCCAATACCAGGCCCTGAGCCCCGGCTCCTTCCCGTGCTGCTGTCACCGCCACGTCAGGGCTCGCCTGCCCGCACCCTGCCAGTTGTCATGGCAATGCTGCGCTTGCCAGGAGATGAAGTTGGCTCTCCCACGCTGCGGTGAGTGGCCGAGAGCAGCCCGGGGGGGGGGTGTCTGTGTCGCCCCAGCTTCCCCCCATCTGCCTGCACCCTGCGGTGCTGCCCCAGGGATGTCCTTTCTCTGGCTGCACCAACCCAGCCAAGGTGCTGGACCCTTGGTCCTGAGGTCCAGTTGCCACGGACCTGCTGTCTACAGGACAAGGACATGTGTCAAGGACTGTCCGTTGGTGGGACATCTTCACCCCATCATGGGGAGCCACCTTCTGCCAGCCATACAACCCAAGAGCAAGCCTTGCCCAGTGGCAGGAAGGGCAGGAGCAGCCTGGACCCCACAGTGCTCCCCATCCCTGTGCAGCCCCTGGACCTCCCTGTGGTGCCCTCAGCATCTCTGGAGCCCACTGGGGCCTGCCAGCTCCCCCAAGCAGGATGCACCATCACGGGCTTTCCAGTTTTAACCAGAGCAGGGACAGATCCTGCTGGTTTCCATGCAGAGGGGACAGGCTGCTGACATGCCACACCATGCCATGTCATGCCATGTCATGCCACGCCATGCCACGCTGTGCCACGCCACGCCATGGCTCCCAGCAGGGCAGGGCAGAGGTGGAGGGGGGCTGGCATAGCTGATGGGATCCCAGGCAGTAGGAGGAGGAGCAGCGGGGCTCCAGGCAGCCCCAAAGTGCTGCATGACCCTGCTGCCCCCCGGCACTGTGGCGGGGGGGGGAAGGGTGCCTGCAGCAAAAGGGCTCTGGCCCTTCTACTCCATCTGCTGAGCCCTGAGGGGCTATTTTTAGGCTGCCTGGCAGCGGGGGCGGCCACTGCTCACACGTCTGCTGCCAAAGCTGC